AAAGCTTTGATGACTGATGAAATTCTCGACTTGATGGAAGAAAGACGCCTGCAGAAAGACCCAGCCAGCATATCGTCAGTTGAATCACGAAATAAAAAACAAAGTCATCATCTTTAGAAAATTGGCTAAACGAACGAAGACCTCGAAGCAAAATATGACAGTTCAAATATGCGTAAGAAAATTGAAGGAGCTGCTTGTGTATAAAATCCTCGACAGACCGGCATTCTGTTGGACAGTCAAGGTAAGATAATTCTTGATGTCAACGACAAAGAAAAACGGTGAAGCTACATCGAAAACCTGTTTTAGGACGAGAGATCGGAAATTCCTGGAGGTTATTCAAGAGAAGGACTAGATATTACTAAACAAGGAGTCCAACGCGCCATTCAGCTATCCAAAACCAGGAAAGTTGCAGGTCCAGACGGTGTCTACTCAGAACTTATTAAAATCCTAACAAATGAATAGTCACTACTCGCAATGGTGGGCATCATTCCCTCTGACTGGCTTAAATCGATATTTGTGACGCTTCCGAAGAATAGATCTGCAAAAAGATGTAGCGATTATCGCCTTATTAGCTTGATGAGCCACTTTCCCAAGATTTTGTATTTATGTATTTTGTAGTTATAGAGTTTCCTTACATAATTTATATGAAAATGTAGATAATTTAATTGCGAACACGATGGTATTGGGTTGCCAAAGCAAAAACCTGCAGAACCTAAGGTTTGCAAAACTTTAAGTTTGAAAATTGTAGAAGAGAACAGCGCGCGACAGAGAAGAACTCTGTGTCTATGCGCTGTAGAAGGAAGCCGAATAGAAGTAAAAGAGCGACTAAGCTGGAAGAATTTGGAATACACAATTTTTTATAATGTTTTTATCAATATTTTTATTATTTATACACACTGCGCTTGTAAGAATACTACTAATACTACTAAATTTTACGAGGGCAGGCTGATTTTTTCAGAGCTCATTGGCGACTGTGTTCTTATAGGCCAGGGCAGATAAATTTTTTCGTAACATAAAATTTAACAGAAAATTATGCAGTATTGTTAAGGATCATTTATAGATGCTGTAAACCAAAAATGCAACATCTAATTACTTTTAGGGGATTTTATAAACAATATTTAGTGCATAAATAGGGCTTTTTCTTGTTTATTTCACTGTATTTCGAAAACTAATGATCGGATGGTTTTGGTACTGTGGCAATAGTTGTAGAGCATTGAACAAGCTTTAAAATGAGTCATCATATGACCCTGTAGGTCTTTTAGTATTCGAGAAATGATTTTTTTCCCCGCAAAAAAGAGATTTTCGTAAAAAATTCCCAACTTTTTTAATTTTCATGCTAGACAATAAATTTTTTACACATAAATAGTAAATGAGGCATGCTTTATTGAGCCCAAATTTGGGCCCGGTCCGATGGGTCGTTTCGGCATAATACCCTGAGATAGAGGATCGATGGTTTGGCATTTCGACTTATCAGTGGACTTTTCAAAATAAATATAAAAAAATTATCCTCAATTCGACAGACTGCTTTAGAAACATCCCCATTTTGCTTGAAAAGGGTATTATGCCGAAACGACCCATCGGACCGGGCCCAAATTTGGGCTCAATAAAGCCTGCCTCATCTACTATGTATGTGTAAAAAATTAATTGTCTAGCATGAAAATTAAAAAAGTTGGGAATTTTTTACGAAAATCTCTTTTTTTGGGGAAAAAAATCATTTCTCGAAGACTAAAAGACCTACAGGGTTGTATGATGGCGCATTGTAAAGCTTGTTCAATGCTCTAAAACTATTGCCACAGTAGCAAAACCATCCGATCATTAGTTTTCGAAATACAGTAAAATAAACAAAAAATGCCCTATTTTTGCACTAAATATTGTTTATAAAATCCCCTAAAAGTAATTAGATATTGCATTTTTGGTTTTTAGCATCTATAAATGATCCTTAACAATATTGCATCGATAGTTTGCTGTTAAATTTTATGTTAAAATATGGCTGTTATTTCGCTAAGTGCCTTGGCCTATTAGTATTGAGCTAAAAAATCTGACTCTAAAGCCTAGTGCGTTCGGCCCTATTGGCATTTTTTCTTATTTATTTTTTTTTTAGAAAAAACGATCTCAATAAAAGTTGCGGATAATTACATTCTTTGCCTCATAACTTTTTTTGCTAGCTATTTTAGTTTAGGCGCTGCGATCATTTTAGTGTTTCAGAATTCGGAAAAAATTAAATAGCGAACCTGCACATTATTGTACTCATAATAATTAGTGCGGCTTCTACGAGAAATTAAAAATTGCACCGACAGTTATCGTCCTGATAACCAAACTGACATCCGTTCAAAATAATTAACGATCATCTTTCTTTCTTCAGCCAGGGTTCCATTCAGCTTTAATGTCAGGCTCGAAAATCCTTTTCCAGAACATTTCTTATTCATATAGGTCTATACCGTTCTACGTTTTCCAATTCCCGATCTCCAACCATCTTAATCTAGGCATCCTTACTTAATGCAATTAGTGTTGCATTAAGTAAGTCTCACTTGATATAAGGAACCGGAAACATAGGTACCTAATTTGGGTTAATGTGAATGCATTTTTCAACTTAAATAGCGTAAAACCAGCTGAACGGAATATCAACATATATGGTATATTTGGGATCAAAAGAAAAAATCAATCATTCTAGCCAAAAATATACAGGGTGTTCCATTCAAAAAAATACAAGTGTTTGTCATTATGACAGTTGGCACCCGTCATTTGCCCGTTTTGACATGTGCAAAAGATAATAGAGGTAAATCCATAATTCTTACAACTTTTGTATTTGAAATTTTCTTTTTTTTTTGTGTAAGTTGTAAAAGCCGCACTAATTATGAGTACAATAATCTGCAGGTTTGCTATTTATTTTTTTTCCGAATTCTGAAACACTAAAATCGTGGCAGCGCCTGAACTAAAATAGCAAAAACAAAAATAAATAAGAGAAATACCAATAAAGCCGAACGCACATGGCTTTCGAGTCAGATTTTTTGGCTCAATACTCAGGAAATATTTTCCAATCAGATCCGAAAAAATCAGCCTGCCCTCGTAAAAATTTTTGAAAAACCCATATAATCACTGAACTAGGAGGTATTATTCTTACAAGCGCAGTGTGTATAAATAATGAAAATAATAATAAAAACATTATAAAAAATTATTTATTCCAAATTCTTCCAGCTTAGTCGCTCTTTTACTTCTATTCGGCGTCCTTCTCCAGCGCATAGACACAGAGTTCTTCTCTGTCGCGCGCTATTCTCTTCTACAATTTTCAAACTTAAAGTCTTGCAAACCTTAGGTTCTGCAGGTTTTTGCTTTGGCAACCCAATGCCCATTGTGTTCGCAATTAAATTATCTACATTTTCACATAAATTATATGAGGAAACTATTTAACTACAAAATACTCATTCGAAGTTACCTTTTGACACCTGACAACCTGGACTTTTGCAGGGAAAGAAAGTGGCAACCATACTTTGGCTTTTTATATGCATATTTTCCTCTCTATTAGTAATAAATTTATTTAGAAACTCAAAAACTACAATTATGAAATAAAATTGACACATAATTTTTTTTATAAAAAATAGTCCTGCAGGGATATGGGCCGGTAACCATATCAAGTTTTCTTTACTAAAACATTATCTTGCTGAATTTTGAGTTTCATTAGGAAACTCGATGGGTGAAGGTCGCTTCAAGTCGGGATCTTAGACTATGAAGTCTTTTTCTGGAACAAAGGTTCCCATGACAAAAGCGGAATTTAATTTTTTTCTCAAAAAATCTTTAAAAAAAACCCGAGGATAAACCTATCGAACTTTATACGTATCGATTGAAATCATCAAAAGCAGAGCTATCCAATGAGTTGTTGAAATATAGGGGGACCTATTTAAAAAAATCTGACTTTCGTCAATATCTCAAAATCCTGGCAGAATACCAATAAACTGAGAATGTCAGCAGATTCTGCTTAAAAAAGTGCTTTTAGAAAGTTTTTACAGAAATCAATTATTTTACTAAATAAAAAAGTTGTGAAGCTTTGCCAATTGAAAGTGTCCAAATTGCACCACTTTGTACACGCTTGATATTAAAATAATATCACTTATGGAATATATATTGTTCTATTGAAAAAAAAATGCCTAATTCTATCAATCAAAGTTAACCCGGGAGTACACGTGTGTCCATTGATAAAATCAGTAATTGCGCCATTGGTACAAGGGTGGCCGTTTTGTCCATTCAGGAATGCCTGATGCAGGTTTTCCGCTACGCCAATGGGTAGCGGAAAACCAGAAATATTTTGGTTTTTAGTTGAAGTATAGTTCGTTGTTTTCATAGTCGGTGCTTTTGACTAGGCGCGTGAACCTGAGTATCTAAAATATTTGTGTTCAAAATTGGCATTTTCTGATATTGGGAGTACTTTTTGCTGTCGATAATACGGTAACTGAACTGCATAATATAATTCCCTTTGTAAGTCTTGTGCTGAGATGTTTGATAGTTTAATCTATCTACTATCTGAGGAAAACAAACCAAGGACCTGACAGAACAAATACAGACCAGAGAATTGGATGAGGGAAATTGAAAAAATTGATGACAAAGTTTAAAAAAAAAAAAATAAAGGAACAGAAATTGTATCTGGAAACAAAATTACTCATATTTTTTGTACTTAAAGTCGAAAATTCCACCAGTATAGCAGGGAGTACCATTCTCAAATTTAACGAGCTTTCTAATAAAGCTGAAGAGTTTGTTTGTTTGAACGCTCTATTCTCTGGAATCAACAAGATTTGTTTTTTTTTTGCATTTGATAGACCAATTCGGTAACGCCCTTTAATAAGAATAAGAATTTAGAATAGCAGTTAGCAGAGGGTGCCTCGGAACTGTAAAAAACACAATTTAAGTAGTGATGTTGAAAGGTACCCAATCCAGTCACTATCTAAAATATTAAAAATGGAATTCAGAGAAAACGGTTATATAATCAAAATCTATGTAGTATATTCAACTCAGTACCTGACTATAAACTTTACCAAAAAAAAACTCAAATTATAAATGTCTAAAAAAAATATTCTTCAATATAATATATTAATATTTATAATATAATATAATAATTATTTATTGTATTATTGGATTTGGTTTCATCGATCTAAACTCTTGGTAGGTACTCAGAAAAGCAGGTCTAACTCGATTGGAAGATAGTTTCGTTGAAGTAAAAAGCTTTCAATTAAACTTTCAAATAAAACTCTAATAGATAGGAAATTAATATTTGAAAATGTAAAACACAATTTCCTAATATGTGACAGATGCAGTTGAATTATTTTGAAGAAGTTGATCTATTGCATTATTGATAGCGCTTACAATAGACTGAACTGGGGATTCAATAATAAGGTTGATTACACTTAAAATTATTCCACGAAAAAGAGTAGTGAATACTCCAATCAACAGATTTATAACCCAATCTAAAAGTCCTAGTCCAGTGAATTTGAAAGCAATTGACCTTAAAGAGTCATACGATAAGTAGGAAATGAAAAAGTATCGTATTTTTCACTCACCCGCTATCTTTCACATTAGCCTTACTGGCAAAAGCGTGGTAGCTAGAGAAATTGAATCCTAACTCAAGATCTAACTTGAAGTGTTTAATTTCAGCTTCTACGTCTCCATGGATACGTAAAAGAATGATTTTTGTAACATAATCATAAGTAATCTAAAAATAATTTAAAAATTAAAATATATTAAAGATTTTCGAAACATTTGTCACTAACCAGAAGACAATTGAAGGATATTGGTAGCACAACATCCAAAACTTTAGTAGAGATAGTATACCTAGCAATAACTGAGTCAGATACAGTAATTGTTGAGGCATCTGACAACCATCCATTTTTTAAAGTGACACTTCCAGGAAACAACTGAAAAATATACTTTCAAATGATCATTGGCAACAAATAAAATGTTGACCTACTTTTATTGTCTCATCGGATAATTCCAAAGGATCATAACCCTGCCTCACAATAACTTCTTGAAGATTGGTCATAATCTCAAGAACATATTCTGTAACATCTGCTTGAACAAATCCTGCTCTGTAAAAATAATAATTAAACCTTATGGTATTTCATGCTTTTTGTTAAATTTCCTGATCCATTGAGATGAACATACATATGATTTCTGCGCACATACATTTTTGAAGTATTTTGTAGGTGGTCTAATTAAAAATAAATATTACACATAAATTTAACAAATCTTCGGCTGCGCCTCGCCTGTAAATCTACACCGTCGGCCGAGAATGTGTCACTTTTCCACCTAAATACATAATATACTATTCTCTTACTTCAGGTCTCCTTTGGTCAGGACAATATCTCTAATGTGCTCCCATGATATTTCGGGCAGTATTTCTTGAGAAACCAGGATAGGTGCCAATTTCTGCGGCACAATACCATCTCTCAGTTGCACCTTGTGACCAAACGCGGCCGTACAGGCAAAAACTAAAAAAACTGCACTAATTTTCATTTTACAAGTTGCTTCTAGTACACAAAAGCTTATGTTTCAAAATAATGTTTTACTTAGTGCGAAAAAATTAGTTTAAGTATATTATTTCTTATCTCGTTATCATCAATGAAGTAGTGTCTGCGATCTCATTGAATTCCGAAAACACTTGAAGCACTTGACGGTAACTTTTAAATCGGAACAGCGCACTAGAGAAATGAAAACATGCTTGGTAATTTTGTTTTGTTTTGATTCCAGAATATTATCTCGCGAGAGTAATAATAGAAAAATAGTACAATATTTGGTAAAAATACGGCTATAAAAAAACATCGGCCTTGAGAAGGATATATTTCGAAAAGTACTACGGATCGATATAATATTAAATTACAAATGAAAAGAAAAGAAAATATCAAAATATTATGTTGTTGCAAAGTCCTTAAATCAAAGCATCTGATTCATGAAACAACCTTTGCTTCCGCAGTATATACATTGGGTATTTTCTTATAAACTCTGTCTAACCAAAGTTGAACGTTGAAGGTCACTCACTCACCCTTGTAACCATAGGACTCACACGTTCGGACCTATTTTGGTTTGATAAAACAATAAAGACAGCAGCAAAAAGCAACGTCTGTGATATATTCGAGTAAGTGACCTTCAACGTTCAACTTTGGTTAGACAGAGTTTAGACTTTTTGCTCCCGAGAGCCTACTTACGAAACCATCATCTTTCGCGACCTATCTCACGACCTAATTTCTGATGGGAGATTACGTTTTCTCAAGACTATATATACAGGGTGGACCATCGAAAACAGTTCAGCAAGGTTTACGGCTTTGTTAGTAAAAATTTAAAAAAATCTTGGACCGGCAAACTTTGGTTTTTAGGGGGACATATTTCACTATTAATTTAATTGTTACAGCTTCAAGTTAGAAAAGCTTCAGCTGCTAACAAATGAAAATTACACTTCTTAAAAATGAATATTCGTGAAAACTTTTTAAAACATCTATCTATTCTTACTGATTGTCAAAACTATTGACGTTTTCAATTAAAAGAGATGGAAGATAAGTTTGATAAAACATTTGCTTGCTTGTCGATGTCAATGTGTATTGGCTATTCAGCAATCCCCTTGTTTTATTGTAATCGACGACTTCACCGATGAGTTAGCTATCTTTGTTTGGCGAATGGAAAATGACAATGACCGACATAGAATGGTAGGTCCATCGGTAAAATTTGATAAGGCTAAAAATGCAGGGAATAATTTGAAATTGGAAAATGTGGGAAAAGTCACTTCACTGCTTCATTTGCAGAACTTTGCTATGGAAAGGGCGGTGGATTATTTTGGAAGCAAACATCTTCCGTAAACTAAACTTGAACTTGGATTAGTTTGTATTCTTGATGGGCCGTAGATTTCCGTTTCTTTTGCGAGTATCCTTTCTGATTTTGTGTATCCAAATTTTGACAAATGTAGAATTCGATGGAAACTTATGAAAAGATACGTCCGCCGATGAATAGGATTAATTTTTGCGGAAAGGCACACTACACACAATCACCATTTTTAGGAAAAAGTCTTGAAAAAACCGAGGAAATAGTTATTTACCTAACAAGTGCGGAAAGTGGTACTTTTCCGCACGAGACGGCAGTTGCACGAACGACGCGGAGAGGAGTTCGGGCAAGCCGTCGAGGGTGGAGGAGACATTTTCCTACGCGCGTGCGCAAAGTAGTACTTTTCCGCACGCATTACCGTTCTCAAAGTTACACTTTTTCGCACTCAGTGCGGATACGGGCCTTATCCGCACTGAGTGCCGAAAAGTAAAAATAATTGTCAAGCAACAATAAGTGCACCTGTCGACTTTGACACATGATGACAAATTTTTCCTCTGTTTCTATATCAGCCAACATCTATACAAACATTGAATATAAATAACTTTGACACATTGTCAGATTTGTGTTCTCCATTTACATGCAAGAATCTACAAACTTCTTTCGCATCAAATTTAAACGATTTAAGATGAACAGCTCTGACGAGGATTTCAATTTTCTGTTCTTATTTTTTTGTTATGTCATTTTTTGATGAATGAATAGGTTCGCTTCACGTTAACTGAAAATAATTGAACAACTATTTCCGCAAGAGTTAGGTACAATATTTTTCCTACGAGTGTTTTTGTCCATCTTATTTATCAAAAAAAATGTTTCATACGCAAAGTTTTTATAATGATGGTACAAAATAGCACATAAATTAAAATAATACATAACATAAATCATTTATTTGATCCTGAATATCTTCATTTTTAGCAATAAAAAAATCGTGCGGAAAAGTAACTTTTCCGCACTATTTTAATTTTTCGCACGATTTTTTTATACACAAAAAAATAATGGAACCGGATTTTTTTATCATGATCCTTCACCGGAACGAGTAGCTCGAGTGTTTTAAACTCTTGAAAGGAATACAACTATTGTTAACAAACCACTGTCAACAGCTATCAACCATTATTTTCATGCTCTTTTGGCGTATGACAGCCTGACGCCAGAGAGAGAGGCTTTTAAATTGAAAAGGTCTATTGTGACCAGTCTTTTCAGATTTAACAAAATGATTGAAGTCAGTTTTTTTTTTTTAAGATAGAAGTTAAAATGGCATTATGTAGGCAATACAATGTAAAATGGTCAATGCTTTCAATTTTTTTATGTAGGAAAGGCTTGTGCTGCCAACATAGTTACTGAATTTTACACTTGGGGAATTATCTTGAAAAAAAAACAGACTTTAAAAACAATTAAAGGTAAAATACAGGGAACTCTTCTATCTGCTACATTCTCCCACCTCCAACCAAAGTAATCCATTTACAGGGCGTCCAAGTGAAGAAGTAGCTGTTTTAATTTCTACGCTTCTAATTTGCCCGTCTTTCCTAGGAATTATTTCGTCACTCTAGCAAATTTCCATTTATTTTTTGCTTCTGTGCATGGTAAAGCTATAATATCATCCACTTTTGGAGGTGTACACTTAGCATGCCATTTTTGTCGGTAAATTATGCTTTGCCATTTTTTCTAGAAAATGGCTGCCATAATTTGTGCAGGTTTCCATTATTTTCTTCCAAACATATCTTCTGGTTTAAAAATACTTGGCATGTTGTCTGTACTAGCTGTTCCAATTAAAAAAATGCATAGGAGTTAAAGCACTCAAGTCTTCTTCATGAGATGAAACATAGCTTATTGGTCGAGAATTTACTATACTTTCTGCTTCCAAAAAAAATGTTTTAAGGAGTTCGTCAGATGGTCTTTTTTCATTTAATATACAATATAGGACTTGTTTTACCGACCTCACCATTATTTCCCAAACTCCTCCCATACTAGGAGCGCCTGGTGGATTAAAATGCCATCTTATATTCAAAAATGTCATTTCTCTTTCTATTTTGTTTTCGTCGATTTCATCCAAATATTTTTTCACTTCTCTTTCAGCCCCAATAAGATTTGTTCCATTGTGCGAGTAAATCTCTAGTGGTTTTCCTCAGCTTGTAATGAATCTTCTTAATGCCAACAGTGTAGCGTCTGTGGTTAATGAAACTGCTATTTCGATATGCACAGTTCTTGAATTCAAACATGTGAATACCGCTCCATATCTTTTTTCTGTGCTTCATTTTAGTTTTACTTGTAATGGTCCAAAATTATCTAATCCACAATAACTAAATGGCTTGCAATAATTTTTTAACCGGCATTCTGGTAATGGTGCCATTTCTGGCGTAAAACTTCAGGTTTCTACACCTTACAGAATTGACATTTACGGATAACATTTTTAACACTTTGTTTACCAAGTATTATCCATAATTTTTTCCCTCAATTGTTGAGAACTGTTTCTTGGCCAATGTGCTTAACAGTTTCATAGTAGTACTGTTTGAGCAACTCGAGAAACAACTCAACATATCTTGTATCTTTAGGTGGTAATATTATGGAAAATTTTGAATCAAATTCTATATCCGCATACTTGATTCTACTGTCGATTCTTAAAATTTCGGCATCATCTTAAAATGGGGAGAATTTATATAATTTAGAAATTTTCTTCAATTGATTTCCAGATTTTATTAATTTAATATCATCTTCAAAACACTGGCATTGAATTTTTTTTATCCATAATCTTTCTGCGTGTTCAATTTCATCAACTTTGTCTTCAAGTTCGCCTTTTCGTCTACCATCCTTTTTATTTTTTATGTTGTGTATAAATCTTAAAATCCATGCAGATGCTCTTAGATGCTATACCATTTTGAAAATCTTTCAGCATCTGGCAAACAAATCTTTATCTGTGTAATCATGACAATAGTATGTTTATCAATAATTTCAATAAAATCTTTTTTCGGCCAAACATCTACGGGTTGCTGAAGAAGAACTGGACCATGAAACTAAAGAGAATTTCTTAATACCTACCTCTTGATCTTTAATATCTCTAGTTGCTAAATGTGCAGGATTCATAGCTGATAGTACCCAATTCCAGTTGCTCATGTCAGGAAATTGCAAAATTTCTTGTATTCTGTGGGCTTCATATGATTTTAATCTACCCTTTTCAGATTTTAACCAGCTTAAAATAATCCTTGAGTCAGTCCAATAAAATATTTTGGATATGCGATACCTAGTTTCATTTGTGATCATTTTTCCTAGAAGTGCTGCCAGAACTGCTTCTTGTAACTCCATTCTGGGGATTGTTAAAATTTTATTCAAATGACCAAGTTTTCATTTTAAGGCAACAAATGAAACCAATCATACAGAAGCATAAGCTTTATCACTTGCATCTGAAAATATATGCATCTCGACTTCTTGGACATCGCAAACTACAGAAAAATATTGCCTTGGGATCTTCAAATTGTTAATATTTTCGATATTTCTACACAATTTTTTCCATTTCTCGAAAACTTTATCAGGTAACTTTTCATTCCATTCTAAATTTTTTCCCCAAAAATCTTGGAATATAATTCTTCCTGGTATTATGTATGGTGATAGGAATCCGATGGGATCAAAAATTGTTATAATAATTTTTCACACTTCTCGTTTTGTGGGAATTTCCTCACCAGTTATCAAATTTCCAAAAACTTCGTTGA